GACACAACTAAAGAAGCATAGAATACATTTAAGGTGATGCACATGGGCTCTGATCATGTAAAAGAGGCTAAAGTATAAACCTTAAGAAGTGACTTCGTGGTTATCTGAAAGAAAGACAGTGAATTGGTGGATGATTTTTTCATGAGATTAAATACCATTATGACCATTATTCGATCTCTAGGCAATAAAAAATTGAGGAAGTTGTGGTGGTGAAGAAATTTCTTTGAGCCATCCCATTACAATTTATGAAAATCATGAAATCTATCGAAAACTTTGTTGACCTAAAAAACATGATTGTGGAAGAGGTTATGGGTCGTTCAAAAACTCATGACGCGAGGCTTTGGAGTTATAAAGAACAAGGAGATGGACCTTCCTTATTGCTTACTCATGTCGAGTGGGCATCACGATCCAAGAAACATGACGAGCGGAGCTCGTCAAACACCTCAAAGGATAAAGGTAGTCATGGTGGTTGAGGCAAAGGGAGAGCCTGAGGATGACGGCGTGGTCGTGGATCCAATGCAAAACGGAATGACCACAAGAAGGATAAAAGAAAAGTAAAGTGTTTTAAATGTGAGAAGTTTGGTCTGTATGTATCATCAGAGTGCCCAAAAAAGAACCGCAATGAGGAGGCAAACCTCACACAAGCCAATGAAGAACCACCCATCATAATGATGGTAATCTCATAAGAATATGTACCCGAAAAGGTGTTGCTAGAAGAGAACATTTGTGTTAATATTCTTTCATTGGGGAGAGAGAGAGAGAGAGAGAGAGAGAGAGAGAGAGAGAAAGTCTTGTTGTGTATGAGGTATGGTATCTTGACAATGGTGCTAGAAACCATATGAAGGGAGACCGCTCAAAGTTCCATGAGTTGGATGGAAGTGTTATCGGTCACGTAAGATTTTACGACGGTTCCATTGTTGCTATTTTAGGAAAAAGATCAATTTTATTTGATTGCAAAAATAGCGACCAAAGACTTTCGAATGAAGTATACTACATTCCATGTCTTAAAAACAACATCATCGGTCTCGGAAAAATGAAGGAAGAAGGAATTATAGTCACTATGTACGGATCGATTTTGAGGTTATATGATAGATATAAAATTCTACTTTTGAGAGTTCAAAGATCACCAAAACATATTATATAAAACTCAGTTACTAACCGGTAGAACAACATGCCTTTTGACCACGAAGGACGAATCGACTTGGACATGACATTCTAGACTTGGTCACATTAATTATCCTGCCTTAAAAATGTTTTTGGAAAGGAAAATGGAAACCCGAGTTCCAAGGATCGAACATTAAAATCAAGTGTGTGAATGGTGTGTTCTTGCAAAACAAACCCGAATATCTTTCCGAACCAAAAAAAAATTTTGAGCTTAAAATTCAACTTGTGCATGCGGACCTATGTGGTCCGATTACACCCACCTCTATTGGAGGAAGCAAATATTTTCTTCTTTTGGTAGACGACTATAGTCGGTGGGTGCGGGTTTATAGTTTATATGGGAAGTTTGAATCCTCGGGGTGCTTTTCAAACGATTCAAGTTGATGGTCGAAAAAAGTCCAGGCTATGAATTGAAGAAACTTCATACAGATCGAGGGGGAGAGTTTACATCAAAATAATTCTCATCATTTTGTGAAGAAAATGGAGTCAAAAGGCATCTTACTACCCCACATTCACCTCAAAAAAATGGGTTGTAGAAAGACAGAATTATACAATTATGGATATAGCAAGAAGTCTACTTGAAGGAAAAAATATACCAGTAGAATTTTGGGGAGAATCTGTTAGACACACAGTTTAACTTCTCAAGCGCTTACCTACAAAAGCGCTTCCTGACATCACGTCGTATGAAGCTTGCTTTGATAAAACACCAAATCTTGAGCATTTGAAGGTTTTTGGTTGTGTTGTTTATGCCAAATTTGTAGGTTTATACTTGAAGACCGAAGCAAAAAGATGGTGTATCTTGGAGTGGAAGATGGATGTAAAGGGTATCGATTATTTGATCCGAGAATCAGAAATTGCAAGTTAGTCGCGATGTTTTTTTTAAAGTGAAAGATGGAATTGGTACAAAAACAAAATGGATGAAGCCGCAACCACTAAAACCTTCACGATAATTGAGATAAACAGTTGTGAAGACAACCCGGTGTAACCAGACAACCCTAAAGTTAGCCCGAAACCTCGGGACATCCCTAGAGTCCACTTGGAAAATCCGGACAACCCATATGTCGAATCTGTCCAGCCTGAAACAACCCCATATACTCCTATTCCAGCCCCGTTTTCTTAAATATTGACCAACACAAAAATCCCCTCAAGAGAGATTAGGCCAAAAAGATTCATTTCGCTTGCCGATATCTATAATGATGCTGAAAATGTGATCCTATAACCTGGATAATTGTTGAGTATTGCAATGGATCAAGCCTTGAATTATGAAGAGGCGGTTACCTCTAAACCATGATGGGAAGCCATGTAAAATGAGTTGGATGCAATCGTAAAAAACAGGACATGAAAGCTTACCGACTTGCCATCAGGTCACAAAGGGGATAGGATTGAATGGGTCTTTAAAGTGAAAAAAGTCAATCTTGGAAACGTCATAAAAAAAGCTCAACTTGTCGCAAAACGATATGTACAAAAATAAAGGAGTTGACTTTGATGAAGCTTTTGCACTGGTAGCGCAACTTTACATCATAAGGCTTATTCTTGCCTTAGCATCTCAACATGGGTAGTTCGTCCACCATTTAGATGTCAAGTCGGCTTTTCTTAATGGATATCTTGAATATGAGGTTTATGTACGTCAAATGGAAGGATACATTGACAAAATACATAGTCACAAGGTGCTTAAACTCTCCAAGGAACTTTATGGTTTACGACAAGTTCCTCGAGCTTGGAACATTCGGTTGGATAAAAGCCTAAAAGGACTTGGTTTTTCGAAATTTTCACAAGACATAGTGGTGTAAAAAAGGAACCGAAATGGAAAAACTCTTTTAGTTGGTATCTACGTTGACAACTTGATCGTTACGGGATCAAACAACGAAGGCATCATGGAATTCAAGGAACAAATGAAAAAATAATTCGAAATGTGTAACTTGGGTTTACTTTCATATTATCTTGGAATATAAGTGTCACAAAAGAAGTTGGGAATTTCTTTACAACAAACAGCTTACGCAAAAAAGATTTTGGAGCAATTTGAGTTGCTAGAATGCAACCTGACAACTTCACCCATGGAACCCAAGTTGAAGGTTAAGCAAGATGAAGGCGATGAAAAAGTTGACTCAACCGAATATAGGCGAGTAGTGGGATGTCTAAGGTACTGGACACACATTCAACATGATTTATCATATGTGGTTGGTATTGCTAGTCGTTTCATGGAACAACCAATCACCTTGCATTTTCAAGTGGTAAAACATATTTTGTGATATGTTAAAGGAACCATTAATTATCGGCTCAACTATGGAAAGGGTTGTGAAGTTAATGACTTGGTTGGGATTAGTGGTAGTGATCATGGAGGTGACAAGGTTGTGGGAAGAGTACAAGTGGGATGATTTTCTACCTAGGAAGAAATGCAATGACATGACAATCTAAAAAACAAAGGATTGTTTCCTTGTCAACATGTGAAACTGAGTTCATGACAGCTACGGCGACTACATGTCAAGCCATTTATTTGACTTAGAAATCTTATGAAGGAGCTTATGGGAGATCATGTCATGCCTATCACCTTGTTTGTTGGTAACAAGTCGGTCATTCAGTTGATGAAGAATCTTATGTCTCATGGTAGAAACAAGAACGTTAACATTTGCTATCACTTCATAAGAGAATGTGTTGAGGAAGGACAAATTATCGTAGAACACATCAACTCAAAGGATCAATGAGCGGATATCTTTACAAAGGCCTTGAAACACATGAAGCATGGCAAAGTGCGAAATATGTTCGGTGTGACGGATACCGAGCTTGTTCCAATTTAAGGGGAAATTTTTGACATTAAACTAGATAGTAATAATAAGAATAAAGAAAATTTCCTAATAGTTTTTACTGGACAACCCTTAAAGGATTGGAAGGGTAGAACTGCTTGGAAGGATAGAAAAGTGATTTCTCTCTCTTAGGAAGGATAACTTTACGGAAGGGTAGAAAAAATTTCTCTTTCATGGGTAGCTTTTATTATTAAACAAATATAGGGTGCAATTTTTTAAAGCTTTCATGGACACAAATCTTTAAACTTTTTTCCTAGTTGTCTGTCATAAAAGCAAGTGTGTATTGTCTTTATTTGTTATTTTATAAATAGACTAGGTAGACATGTACCAGTTTTAAGAGATGTGTATGGATCTCTCTTAGTTACTTTTATTATTATATTACTCAAATTAGGCTATAAATATGTGTGGTGGTCAGCTACATATTGTAATCCTATTGTAACCCGTCTATTTCTTTTTCAATAAGAAACTCAACTTTAAGCTTTTAAAAGACTTTGTCTTATTTATTTCTTATGTCGCTTTGCATTTTTTTCGGCTCAGACGTTTGAACAATATATTACCTTTAATACTGCATACCAATTAAATCTTATATCCCAACAAATGCATCCTTAAAGGATGTGATTCTTTTGTTGCTTACGTGCTTGACGGGAAAAGTGAGAAAAAGAAAATGGAAGATGTAGAAAGTGGTTTGGGTATTTCCTGAAGTATTTCTAAAGTCTTACTTGGTTTTCCACCGGTGAGCAACTAGGAATTTGGAATTAAATGTATATAAGGTGTAACTCCCATTGCTCGAGCACCTTAGCAACTTGAACCTACCGAAATGCAAGAACTTATGTCTTAACTTCAAGAACTCCTTAACAAAGGGTTCATTTTTCCTATGTTCGCCTCCATGGTCAGCTAAGGTCCCAATTGGGCCAAGACTGTGACACCATATGAATGAACCAAAAATCCACAAATGAATATAACATTTGATAATGAGTATTAACCATCAACTTATATACAAAGAGATTACCTAAATAGGTAATTAGATAAGAGTCACATCAAGAACCAGTAAATCCTTATCATGCTACTATCTTAAACACTTATTTGAAGAGTTGAATTCATGGAATCCATGATTACAATGTGGAAAGGGGAAAAGTAAAGCAAGAAATGAGGGGGATGAATAGAAGTGTCCAAAATTTACACCGCACATGCTTTTTATCTAGCATACAAGAGTGTTATCATATATTCCTCTTGTGATGAAACTGACTCAACTTTAGGGTAATTGTCTTCAGTGAAAAAAGCTGGTTTTTTAGGTGGAGGCAGTGTACTCTCACTAATCAGCATTAAAACAACTGATAACATAGTGGGCCTATCTTCTGCATGATGTTGCACGCACAATAACCCAACATGTATTGATCGTAAGACTTCAGGGACCACACATGAGTTACGTAAAGATGCACCCATGACTTCAATGGACTTGTCTTCTTTATAGAGTCTCCATGCCTGTATGAAACCAAACTTTATATAAGCTTGCTAAAGGGTGATGTTAAAGAAAACACTAGTTTTTGCTCTAGTTGGTGAGGAATAATTTACCAATTTAACTTACATGTCCAAGAAGATTATCACTATGACCTTCATGGGAGAACCCTCTGTTTTTCTTTCCACACACTATCTCCAACACGATTACACCAAAGCTAAATACATCCGACTTTATTGAGAAACGTCCATGTATTGCATACTCGGGAGGAATGTAACCACTGCAACCAGGTTCAACAATTAAACATATTGGAAACAAAGTATTGTATTTGTTTGTATTTTTCCCTTTTCTTGGGGCAAGAAATGGTGCAAAAATCTATCGGACCATGTATAAAAATTCTTACTATGTTCCGACCACCTTCTTTGTTCTTGCCATGCCATCCTGTCCAACAAAATTTCGAGCAAGGCCAAAGTCAGATATTTTTGGATTCATTTCACTGTCCAACAAGATATTAGCTGCCTTGAGATCTCTATGGATAATTTGGTGGCGGGAGTCTTGATGTAGATAAAGAATACCTCGAGCTATACCATGGATAATACCAAAACGTTGAGGCCAATCAAGCATTGAACTTCTTGTTTCATCTGCTCAATATAAATTACTTAGCCCATGCATGTCCAACAAACTCGATATTGTTGTTACAAGTTTGAATTGAGATGTATAGAGAATCAAACCAAATAGAAATGAGTCCAAGCTTTTGTTATCCATGTATTCATAAATCAGAATTTTTTCATTTCCATGAATACAGTATCCAAGGAGCTTCACAAGATTCCGATGTTGAAGTTTGGCGATACAAATGACCTCATTCTTGAATTCATCAAGCCCTTGGTCGGACGTTTTTGAGAGTCGCTTTACAGCTATTACTTGTCCGTTTTTCAACAAACCCTAAAAGAAAAAATGTTGGAATTCAAGATCCTGATATTACTGTACATCTTATATCAGGATTCCATTCTTGATACTAATACCTATTACATATTATTAGAAAGCATCAATAAGTTACCTTGTAAACTGGACCAAAACCACCTTCTCCAATCTTGTTGTCAATGTTGAAGTCATCGGTAGCCATAGAGATTTCATGCAGGCTAAAAGAGGGTAACTCATCAAGGTTTTTGTTCTGAAGGCTGGAATGATCCTTATGAGCGTTATGTGCCTGGTTTCCTACAATATCATAGAATCATTTCCAAGTTCTCTTCATTGCATCAATCTGCTAAAAAATATACTCATACAAAGTTGTAATTGGTATGGTTTCATTTATAGAAACATAAAAAATGACTTCTGTTACCTCGTCCTTTCTTTTGGCGCCTTTTCCTTTTCTTTTTAAGGGCGTACACTATTGTAGATAGAAGCAGTACAGTTGACAAAACTGACAACACCAAAGTAAGTATTCTCTTCGTCTCGTTAAAGCTTGATTGACCTTTCGTTAATGAATACAATAATCAGTATGTTTGCAATCAAAAGACAATCGGTTGAACACTCAGACATGTAGCATATGACTATGATAACCGGTGTATTTTTTATTATTATCCGAAGATCATACAAAAATCCACAAAAGTTTATGAACATGAATTTTATATATATATATATATATATATATATATATATATATATATATATATATATATATATATATATATACTTTGACCATATAAATGGCAGACAACTGGCTGTTTCATACCATGGTAGAGGAAACACATTATTATTTGTTTCATTATCTTTCCGGAAATTAATATGGGATAGTTTGGTCAAGGAATTTCAACTTTTTCCCTTTTCTAAAAAGTCTCATTTAAATCTTTATCCTATGTATGCACAAAAGGTTTAATTAGACAATAGAAGATATAACTAGAAATAATAAAGATACATAATTGTTAATATGCATAGTTGATGAACTACTTTTACTATTAATGTTTGAAGAGGTTTCTAGGGCTATAAAGTTTATGGTCGTTTGTTTAAGTTAATTGAATAAAAAACGAACACGAATGGATAAGCAAACAAATTTTATTTTACATGTTTGTTCATTTAACTTATCTGTTCGTGTTTGTTTGTTTACGTTGGTGAACAACGAAAATAAACAAACAGAGATGAATAAACACAATTGAACAATTATAAACATAAATGAAATTAATATAGTAAAATAAAAAAAAATGCACATAAATAAACTTAAGCAAACGAAATAAATGAATAAAATAAACAAATATTCACAAACATAAATAAACCAACGAAGCTATTATTCAATTCCATTCATTTAACTAAACAAACGATAATTTGTGTTCATATTCGTTCATTTATTAAACAAACGAAACAGAAATTCATTGATGTTCGGTTCACTACATCCCTAGGTTTATGCGCACTAAGTACTTTCACTACTTAGGCTAATTTAAGTGAAACATTGAAGGTGCTGAAGTCCTTCGCTGTTAATATAAATCAAATTGTATATACCTGATAACTCGGAGGTTGCCATTCTTATATAAAGATGTTGATTTTCATCATACACTCTCATGTCCATTAGTTCTCCAAACCATAGCAAACATCCACTTCCCCCGTTTCTGATATCTAAATTTGCATAAGCTGTACAAGAGCAATTCTTCATGCAAGCCATCTCACATTCTCCAAGGGACATGCTCAGGTTGTACCATGAACGTCTTGTGTCTGGAAACTTCACACCTGAAATTTTCTGGAAGCCATGATCCCCACCAATCCCACAATCGAAAGGCTTTTTAGGTTGACACCCACTCGACCAATCTCCTGCATTCCATTCTTCAGGGACTTTTACTTCAAAACCTTCCATACAACTGCAAGGGGGAGATCTAATGTGAGCACAGATCCCATAAGGACCACATGGTCCATAACGACTACAACTATCAACTACTATATTCTGATACGTGACCCATTCCTGTGTTCGCTCGATCCAGTTCAAGTGCAGTATGATGCCATCCCACATCACGATTATCCTTTGAATAACTGAACTATTAAGTTTATATCTATAATACATTTCGTTCTGGTTGACAACAAACTCTACGGAGTAAATTGGATTCGGGTTTTCGATAGGAAGACCACGGAACCCAAGACCATTCCATGGTCCAAGCCTGGAGTGTTCAACTGAACCTTCTCGCTCAAATATTTGTGGATATCCATTTGTGTCTAACCAGTATTTATACACACCTATAGAAGGATCATCAGGGCTCTTCCATGATGTTAAATACCTCTCTCTTTCTTTTACCAAATCCTTCCCCAGTTTCATTCCTGGTAGCAACGTGTTACCAGGATAGTCGAAGCTTTGCCAGATGGGGTTTTCTTTGGTGCTATTTTCATCCCACACCACAAGATTTCCGCTGTCCAGAAGCTGTGCCACCGGATTAATTACATTGACAGATACCACCGAATTGGATGACCAGATCACAGTATTAGTATAACTACCACCACTGAGAATCAGCAGGGTTCCTTCTCTACTGAGTTCAAACACGCCAGATGCATCGCTGATTGGTGTTTCCCTGTTAGCAACCCACACGATCGTACAAGTTGAGACCTTCTTGTACCATATCCCGAGGTAACGATTCTTGGACTTTCTGGGGCTAAAAAACCCCAGCTCATACGTCTCACCATCTGAAACAATGGTGCTGCCATCTTCGATTGGTTGGTTTGCAGATATTGTATCTACTGCAGCAGAACATGACAAGAAAAAGAAAATGGTAGCGGATAACAACATATGGGTAGGATATACCTCCATTAATTAATGTGTCTTGGAAATCGTGGGTGGGAGACTTAGATGTGTAGATTGTGAAATTCTTGCTGGTTAACTGTTGAACTTACGCGAGTATACTGGTATGCATCAGATTATGCATTCTAGCTAATGGTCATATGTATCTAAGAGAGGAACTTGATTCCCATGTTGACTAGCACATGATAATTTGAAATATGAGTACTCCGGTAAAAACTCAATTTCAAGAACTATTTGACATTAATTGGAAGCATATCTATTCTCATTTGTCCCAGGAATCTTACACTAGATATGCTTATTATAAAATTTACCACTTAATATGTCATGTAGTTTTAATAAAACTATGTAAAATGCTTTAATTTTATTATTATAGATCATGGACCAATCATGCTATTAAATATTTGGGTATTTCTAAATCACTAATGCAATTCTAAGTCAACGACTAATCATGATGATATAATAAAGTTTATGAAATGATGAGTCTTTGTTTTATTTGATCATAATAAATACGTTTGTTGTTGTATGATGATGTTGATGGTTCACTAGATTCTATTTCGGTTTCTTTGTAATAAATAAAGGGATTTTATAATATTTGTAGCACATATAACAAGTATTAATTAATCACAATTATTATCATAAATAATGTTAAACACATTAATTATAAGAAATATTACCATAATTAAATATAAATTTTATTAATAATCTCAATAATTAGTGTATTTCACATAATTATAATATTTTTTATAATTAATACTTTCATATTAAAAAATCCAATAAATAAATAATGATGGAGTGCCATGCCCCGTGGATAAATGTTATGACTTAAAACTATGGTAGCATCATCTTTCCACCAATTTTAACGAATAATTAAGTATATTCTCACATGATTAACTTCCCTGAATGGTTTCTTTTATGAATTTAACTAATTATGATTTAGTATCACTTATCTAAAATATGCTACAAAACCCATCATTAAATCGTTATAATTATAAAAATAAAAAAATGAAAATATTATATAATTGTTATAAATTTTATAAATTAAATATTATTAAATAAATGATAGAATTAATTAACTAGTAAAGAAATAGAAATATTAAAATTAAATATAATTAAGAAGGTAAATTAAAATATGAGTGAGGCCTGAGGGAGAAGAAGTTAGAGAATATGTGACTTTTTTCATAGCTTTTTCCTTTTCAAAACGTTGTTTCTTATTGTGGAAGCTTTTCACCAAAAGCTTTTTCCGGATATTTCTTCTTCAATCATTACGGTGGACTTCACATATATTCAATGAAATATAATTAACCAACTTGTATACAAAAAAAATAATATAATACCATAAATAACTTTGATGTGTCACATATAAAAAAACCTCTATTCTATAATAGGTATATTTAAGCTTTGTTGTTTGGGGATGTGGCAATGACATGAAATAAAAATAAAAAGAGAAATTGTGAAAAAGCTCTATTATTACTGAACTCTTACATGTACAAAACGTACAAATAAATTGGTCACTGAGTGAGTACTTAAGTAGTCAATGAAAAAAAAAGATAAAACGAAATAAAAGAAACAAACTATTAATTCCATTTGTGTTGAATGGTCGATCAAATAGTAATATCTAAATATTATTAAAATATAACATTTAATTTTAAACTGAAAAAATCAGGTTCATTGATTGCATTTCAATCATATATTTTCTACCTTTGGATTATTTGATGACATCATCTTTGTCAACCCATTTATTTTTATCCATTGATTTTATAAAACGTATATTACGTTTTAAATTAGAATTTCATTAATGACACTTAAATATAACAAAAAATAAAATGAATTAAATTATGAATTTTATTAATGAAAATTAAATATCATCAAAAATAATATGAATTAAATTAGGAATTATATTAATATCAATTAAATCTCACAAAAAATAAAATACAAAAATACCCCTCCTCCCTCGATTCTTTACATAATATATCTAACCTAAGTTTTGTAGTGGAGAAGAAAATGAGGGAAAACAGGTTGTTTTGATTTTTACTTAACGATTTAGATTTGTAGTCGAACGATTGAAATTATAAATATTTCAAAGAAAGGTAAGAAAACAAGTAACTCAAATTCCACTTGACAACTTTTTAGTCAAATCATATATGTTTATTTTTTGATAACTAATATTTGTACTATTTATCAATATTTGTGCTAAAGTTGTGACAACATGAAAATGGTTGTTACTTAAGTTGCTTGATTTTTTTTGGATTTCTTGTAGGACGAAAATGGAGTTGACGAACAACAAAATTTGTCAAATTCATCTGGGTTCTTGTGAATATAAGTAAAATATATTTTGATTTTTATGTTATGAGGGTGTCAAATTTTGTGGTTTGAAAAATTAATTGTCACAGGTGTTATTTAGAAATTTGAATCGAATCTTTCTATGGGATTCCCCATTTTTTCATACTTATTGTTCAATAAGTTGAGCAATTAAATTATAAACGATAGACTGATACACAGTGTATGTCATATCCTTTGCTTTTGGTTGTTAAAATCATAAATCTGTTTTTTTTTCTTTTCGGCTTTTTGGATGTGTTAGGATTTGAGACATTGATTTGTATACTTGAAAATTTTGTTTGGTCTACATGTTCGATGAAATGCTTAAGGGAACAATATTGGAATAAACTTACGGCCCAGTTTAAATTACTTTAAAAATATATTAGTTTAAATTTCTTAAAAAATATACTTGTCGATTTTTGTTATCCTTCATGGTTTAAATTTGTATGTTTCTCCTTAAAGTTTCATATTTCATCCCTAATATTTCTTTGTTTATGTTTTAGTTATAATGCATTCTTTGACCCTTGATCACCTTGGTTAGTTTATCATACTAAGTTTTCTTCGAAAATTATATTTAATTGCAAGTTATTACACTATCTAACACCAATAATCTCTAATATTTATATAAGATGGTGACAATTATTATTTTTTATTGCAGCTTCTCTTCATATTGATTATCGGATGTGGTTTGAGTTATGGAATGCTGCGACTGAAGAGATTCCACATTGTGGGATGTTGGAATTCATTATAGAAGGAGGCATGATTTATATACCTTATTGGGTATTGATGGAAACGTTTAATTCTTGCTCATGTAAATCGATAAATATTTTATAATATGTTCTTTTAACATTATATTAGGACATTTTTTTTGGAAAAAATTGCTTTTAATATTGAACTTTGAAAAAAAAAGTTCATAGATAGCATCATACTTTTAAAAAATAACATTTTTGGATTATTTTTAGTTGATATGGAAAGTTATATTTTTTGTATATTGAAGATCATTTAAACGATTGTTTTCTGGAAAAAAAATCATTAATAACATTAAACTTTACAAAAAATTTCATTAATAGCATCGTAGTTTCAAAAAATGACTTTTCCGTATTCTTTTGCCTAATCTAGAAAAAATTTATTTTTTTTCTACATTAGAGTTAATAGGATTTTTTTGAAAACATTTTGTTAATGGAAAGTACATTTTCATTTTCTTTCGTGTAATAGACCATTTATGTAAGAAAAAACATATCAAATATGAATCATTTGTGTACTTTTGTTCACAAGTGAACCGTTTATGTAGTATATAAATTTAATTGTTAATTAGTAGGTCATTAATATGATAATTTTCTAGGGAAAATTTGTTTTTAGTATTAAAATTTGTAAAAAAAAAAAAATGATAACAGTATAATAATTTATATATATATATATATATATAT